CTCATTTTCAGCTATTGCCTCGCTGGCTGCTTTGGTAGGCGGCGGCGGGGGTCCCGGGCCTTTCTTTCCCTTGCCCTTCGATTTTGCCTTGGCAGCCTCTGGAGGGTTGCTGGCATCGCCATCTGCAGGCGCCTGCTCTGTTGCTGTTTCTGTGCCTTCTGGCTCATTTTCAGCTACTGCCTCACTGGCTGCTTCGGTAGGTGGCGGCGGGGGTCCGGGGCCTTTCTTTCCCTTGCCTTTACCTTTGATTGCATGTCCAGAAGATCCGTCGCTTTCTTGCTGCGCATTCTCTGGTGCTTCAGTTTTGGCCAGCTCCAGCATCTCTACTTGTTTGCGGGAAGACTCCAGCTGAGAGCGCAGCTCCTGCACCTCCTTCTCCAGCTCCACAGTCTTCGTGTCGTCCTGCGGATTCTTGGTAAACTCCTCGAGTTTCGTCTCCAACGACTTTACCTTGTCTTCCAGCTCCGCATTCTGCTCGCACTGTGAGCCATATTGATCCAGGACATCCTCGTAGTCCGCCTTCTGAGCTGCAAGCAGGTTCTTCTGGAAGCGTAGAAGGACTTCATGTTGGCCAGCCATTCGCAAGCTCTTCAGGTGCCACTCCAAATATTTCAGCCGCAGGAGGCTCTTCACTTCGCTGGTCACCTCCGCACTCTTCTCGGAGAGGTCCAGCAGCACCGAGGCGATGCGCAGCGCACGGTCTGTGGCCTTCTGCATGATGAGAAGGAACTTGCGCAGCTCCCAGCCGTGGCCCTTGCGGTCCAGCTCCTCCAGGATGTGCGGATTCATCTGGGGGAAGAACTCCAGCGATGCCGTGATGTTGTGAACGTGCTCCTGCAGATCTGACGCCGCTCTCGAAGCGTTCTCGCCCACTGTCTCGGCACCCATAAAGAGAGCCTGGAAGTGCTTGGCCTTCAGCATCTCGGCCCATTCATCTTGACCCAGGTCGTCAGTGCCGTAGTCGTCCGAGTCCGCGTCAGCCTCGTTCCGCAGCCTGGCCAGCTCCGCCTGCAGCTCCTCCAATTCCGCCTGCTCAGACGCTGAAACCACCGGCACTGCCGGTGCCGGCACTGCCGGTGCCTGCGCCAACTGGTCTTCCTTTTCGTGGAGTAGCTCCATAAGACAGTTCACCTCCGAGGATGGCACAAGCGTCAACAATGCAACGCCGGTGAGGGTTGGTATGCCCGTTGAACACATGCCACAGTGCTTGTGTGTACACTCATTTGACGGCCTCCTCGTCCTTTGCAGCAAGCTGGCTCCGACATTTCTCCTCCACGACCTGGCAATGGCCAGATTCTCGGCTCAATTCAACAGTCTAGCCCCAATCACAGCAAAGCGTGCCTGCTGAATGTACGCTTCGAGACTCTGGTTGTCGCTTCCAGGGGCCTTAGCATTCCTCTGCCTCAGCTCAAGTCAAGCCATGCTTCGGTCGCATTGGTCTTACTGGACGCCAACAGCCGCCTGCCTCTTGACATGTTGCATACTATGCAGCTTGAGGAACAGAATTTCAATGGTTTGCGACTTCGCCTTCAATGCCTGCTGAAGATGCTGGATGGTGGCAGCCCTGGACTCGATATCCTTCAGGTGGAAATTGCAACTTGCTTCTGTTTGTGGAGAAAGAGCTGCCATACCACCCTCCGGGCAAACTGCTTCACAAGGCCCGTCCTTCTGCAAATGACTGACATTGCCGCGCAGCTCGTTGATCGTCCGATCAGCAATAATATTGGATCGGTCACCAATAATGCTCATGGACGGCGGCAGATGGCTAGATGAAGGAAGGCCGCGGACAGGCAAATAAAGGGTCTTGCTTTCCAATTGTCAGCTGGAGTGAATAGCAGCATTGTTCATAATGCGGCCTCGTTGTCCAACACAAAAGCTCGATTGTTGTGCGGAAATTGTGCCCACAACATGTGCAAATGATTCGCTGGCCTACTTTCTTTTGCCTGGGAACCGCAGTTTGTTATGGTCCTCAAGCCACTGCTGGGCCAGCGAAGCAAAATGCACACATGCTGCTCTCCGGGCTGGTGCTCCCAACGGGTTGCTCAAAAGCAAGCATCTCCTCGCTTCTCCTCTTCAAAAAGAGACATCCCCTTTTAAGCAACTTGCCAAAGGAAAAGCTGCAAGCTGCGGCAGGAGCGGTCTGCAAGCGGAGTTTTGTCGATCATTGGCTTATTTCTGCGTGAACGTCACCCCATGCCAGAACGGGCTGTCCCAAGCTGGGTTGCCCTCTGTCCCATCTCCTGACAGATTGCACCATGGACACGACAGAAATTGCTGAGCAAAGGAGGGTACAGAGCTCTTCTCACTGGAGCCGAAAGCTGACAGGTGCCTATCTCTGCCACCAGCTCTTCACAGAGTTCTTTGACCTGCATTCTCTGATCGACGTGCGAGCTACGTCGGAAATTCGGTCAGTAAACCCGATAATCTATTGGTAGTTGACGAGTGTACAAAGGGGCATTCCCTCGACTACCGTAGATGATTCATACTGACCGTTGCCCATGTCCCACTCAGAGGCGCGGTATGGCAACCAGGCGTCAGATGTGTGCCTCCGGATGCAGCCTTTCAAAGATGTCGGGTGGCAAGCATCTTTGCGGAGGAAACCTCAGCCAAGATGGACTCTGCCAAACGTTAACGTTTCGAGGAGAGACCGATACACGATACTGGATTCAAAACCCTGGCTGAAGAGCCCTCTCCCATGTTGGCAGGACATCTGTTCACTTGTTTCCAGAAGAAACGAAGCGAATAGTCGCGGCGTAACATAAAGAATCCGGCGAGTCGGCGGGAGCACTTGTTAGTTGTGTCCAGGATTCTGATATCATGTGTTTTACACAGGAAAACAAAGATTTTATGTATTTATGCAACCCCCCCGGACCCTGGTTTTACTGCCTTTTTGGGGATAGTAAATCTAGAATCTCGAGATTTAAATTCTCGAAATTTCCAATTGTGGTTCCCCCAAAGCCTCAGAATTTGGAGCTCGGAGTCCCAGCAACCCACCCAAGCAAGCCCAGACCAACCACCAACCCACCCAAGCAAGGAACACGTCAGACAAACCAGCCTTGTCTCAACCTGACGAGACTCACATGTCTGAGACTAGCCTCAGGCCCAGCCCAAACACCCAAGCAAGGCCCAGCCCGGGCCCCCGGGCTGATCACGGTAGCCTTAAATAGGGCCCCACCCCCTCCCCCCCCGTCGCCCGCTGATTTTGTCCGTCGCCCGGTTATGGTCATCTTGCAAAAGGCCTCTCCCCTTCCTGTGGGCCCTGGTGTGTTCCGGTTAGGGCCAAGGCTTTGAGAGTCGTACCCCGGTCGGCAAGCGGCCCCCCCCAAGTGGGGGATACCATTGGGGGGGGGTGGCCGCTCGCCGACCGGAGCCATATATATATATATATATATATATGCACATATATTGTATGATCATTTTCAAAAGCAGCCTTCAAAATCCTCGTGGATTATAGAGTGTCTTCAGCCAAAACCCGGTCAGGCATTCAGAACCAAGACCAGAGCAGCGACCGGCGAAGCCACATGGACCGCAAAGCAACTGCTGTGGGGCACAAAATGCACTTGAGCTCCAACTCAAGGGTTGCAACTGTTCAGTACAAGCGTAGTACACTAAATACAGCTCCGCAGCTCCAGATCAAAAGACCCGTGGCATGAGTATGTCGTATATATAATATACAAACTTCATGACCTCCAGCATGTCCAGCTCATGCAATGTAGCCCCCCAAAAACCTTGTAGGAATGCCAACGTCCACACGCGATGCTTTCTTATCCTGAGAAAAAGGCAGGTCCGCACGATTCGTTGCCCGAAAGGGACCTGATACGAACCTTAAAAGCGGCAAGGCTGCATCTTCACTCACAGTCACATTGGCTTTGCGTCCGGCTCAACGCTGGGCAAGTACCTGGTTCGGTCCTAAGTGCATCAAGTGCCCAACCGAGATCGCGCATTCGTGATCTTTCGTGCATGGGCAGCGGGCGGTAGCATTTGCCGTGCCCCCGTGAAGCACGCGCACGTCTCGCACCTGGCGCGAGGCTCTTCCCCAGCCCACTCACTGTGAGCCCGTGAGCCCTACCAGCGCAGCCCCAGCTGGAACGGGGCACAACCGGGAGTTCTGCCACCTTGGGTTGGCATGCCTCACTTGCACCAATGGTGCCATGCCTTTTTGAGACCAAAGAAACGAATTCTCAAACTTCCAAAATATAGATACAAGAGTCAAAGAGCGCTAAGCCACAATGCCACAATATCACCCTTTCTGCTTGCATGTAGAGGTAGCCTGAGGTCGGCACTTTGCAGGCTCTCTTTTGCCGTTCCAGTCCCTGTCCCGCTTACCTAACACGCCAAAAATCGACCTCCAGCCCAGTGCCGCTAGGCAGGTCTGGCCTGGAACGATCCTCATGGGGCCATTCAAACTTGTCAGCTCCTCACGTGGCTCGCCGGCATGGCTTCGTAATTTGACATTTAACGTTCATTCGAATAACCCGCCCTCTCTCCTGAATACAGAAATTCACACTGACCAAGGGCGGTGGCATGTCCACGTCCAACCTGCGAGCCACCTGCATGCGCGTGGTCATGTCTAATTTGCAATTCAATACACTGTGCTGCGCCGCATGGTTGGTGCCCGCCTGCATGTCGGAATGCAGTTTCTGCGCCTCATCCACGTGAGGAAGGACAAAGTCTCCTCCGCCGCTATAGACCAGAAAACCCGACCTGCCATCTGCTCTGCATCTGACATGTTGGCGCCATGTTGCAAAGCATTTGTGAGGCAGAATTGTGTGCCTAAAAATGTAATCCAGCAGAGCCCGTAGCCTCGCAACATGAACATGGCAGCACAACACCCGTTAAGCCGAGCTTGGCACTTCCGCGTTGAGGCATCCAGCAAATTCTCGGCAATAGCTGGGACATGCAGGATCCTTGCCCGAACATCCCGAAAGCTGAAAGTCGCTTTCGTGTCGCTTTCGTGTCGGCCCGGCTCAGAGTCCAGCGAGCCGGTGCTGGAGGCCACC